GGTGATGATACCCAGCACACTGAATCGACCATTCTAGAAGTCCAATTGTCTGATTGAACTGCCCGTTCTCTCTGTCAATCGTTGTGGTGGACGTGAGCAGACATTGTGGACAGTGAGCAGTTCGATCGATCGATGATGTACTTTATCTGAATCTGTTCTTGAAAGAAAGTCTAGTGTCTAGCTTTTTCCTCCAAAAAGAATGAGAAAAGATTTTGGGCAAGAGAAGAGCGTTTTTTTCTACTTTGGTCGCTTGATTTCTGTCCTCAAGTTGTTTGTTTGTTTGCTGTCTCTTCTTGTTTAAGACTTTGAGACTTCTTTCTCTTTCTCCTGGCCAGACCTTGCAAACAACGGCCGTATCAGTGACATTGATTCGATGCATGCATTAACTCACAGCAGCTTCAACTCTGCTCTTATCTTTTGAAGAAGGAGAAGAAGAAGAGGACTGCTAAATGAGAAAAGTGTCTCGGCAATTGTTGACAGAACAACAAGAGGCTTGATAGGAGAAGGCTGGTTATAGTGGTTGAGGTGGACCGATCGATCGATCGATCACTTTGTTGCTTATTTGAGCTGTTTGCTTCAGTAGTTTGGCGAGGGGCACTATTGCACGGGTGCTGTTGCCGATAATGGCACAGACACAAACTAGGAAAATAGGGAAATCTGGAAATACTTTTGGTGGAGATGTTTTGGGGCTACCTGACACCGCACTTGTTTCTGTCAGGAAGTTTGCGTGGAAATGTCGGGCACTAATGATTTTGGCTTATTGCAAACAGTGGTGGTCATCAACACTACAGGTTTTGAGCAGGTTGTGAAATCATCGAACTCTCAAATACAAATAAAACCGGTAAGGAGACAAAACTACAGGTACAGTCAATAAAGTGAGCAAGGCATTGTGAAAGCCTGTACCTAACTCCTTTTCCTGGAGGCGGTGGTGCACATCTCCTTCTTCATCATGACTCAACTTTTGCAATCTCTCCCAAATCTGAACTGACATCAGTGCATAACTGTATCACATCGCACACAAACACACTTACCCCGAAGACACTGCAGCAGGCAAAGTCTCCAGCAAGGTACGTCTGGACGANGACATCAGTGCATAACTGTATCACATCGCACACAAACACACTTACCCCGAAGACACTGCAGCAGGCAGTCTCCAGCAAGGTACGTCTGGACGAGGTACATCACTACCACCGGCACTACTACTACCACTGAACACGTATTGCCTTCCAGGCTGGAAACAGACAGAGTAACAGCTTTCAGCACACACATTTTTGTACATCTGTACAGTAACGGTATACAGTGTAGCAGCAGCTTCAGCTGAAGAACTTTACCTCTACTACGAGCTCTGACAGCGTTGTACACTGTATGCACTACTGCTGCTGCATCCTCAGNTATACAGTGTAGCAGCAGCTTCAGCTGAAGAACTTTACCTCTACTACGAGCTCTGACAGCGTTGTACACTGTTTGCACTACTGCTGCTGCTGCATCCTCAACAAACGAACTGTTTACCTACTGTCGATGTCAATTCTCTCGACTGCTGTTGCTTTAATTAGAATGAGCCAGTCCTGCACGCAATCCAGTCAGTCTGCTACCTCTACATTGCAGTTGATAAGCTGTGCAAAACGCACCTGTATACAGTGTGTCAAAACGGTGCACCTAGAGTGAACAGCGGCAATTAGGCAAAAGGTAGTGGCAGGAGTTGTGGTGGATCAACCGTGGTCCATCCGTGCGCATCTCATTCACTCTAAGTTTATCTTACACTTCTTCCACCGCAAAAGATATTGGCACTGCTGCTGCTGCTGATGATGATGATGATGATTAGAACCACCGTTGTGAGCACACAGTGACACAGCAGCGCCCAGACAGACTGACACTCTATGACAACGGCAGCCATTGTCGTCTTGTCGCCAAGCTCTCAGGAGCAGTGTCCAAGAGTTTGCTTTTCCATTCCACACTTGTTCCCTCCCCTCTCCCTCTCTCACTTCTGACGCCTGCCGACGTTGCCGATGGCTATAGCGATGGTGACGACGATGTGTACCGACGATTTCGTGAGTCAGTCAGTCGGCGCTGCATTTGGGAAGGTATATAAAGAACCGTCGATCGATCAGTCTGACCTCATCACACTCTACCTGCCAAATCGATCTCGACTTTTTCGGTCTTTCACCACCCCCTCAAACTAAACCCTCACCATGGTTCAACTGAACGGCTCCTACAAGCTCGAGAAGAGCGACAACTTTGATGCCTTCCTCAAGGAACTCGGTAAGTGAAAAAAAAGTGTTCAGGTAAAAAACATTGGTTTCAACTTCTTTTTTCATTCACTNTCCTACAAGCTCGAGAAGAGCGACAACTTTGATGCCTTCCTCAAGGAACTCGGTAAGTGAAAAAAAGTGTTCAGGTAAAAAACATTGGTTTCAACTTCTTTTTTCATTCACCCTCAGGCGTCAACTTTGTGACCCGAAACCTCGCCAAGTCGGCCAGCCCCACCGTGGAGGTGATCGTCGACGGCGACAGCTACACCATCAAGACCAGCTCCACGCTGAAGAACAGCGAGATCAAGTTCAAGCTGGGCGAGGAGTTCGAGGAGGACCGCGCCGACGGGAAGAAGGTGCAGACCTCGGTCACCAAGGAGGGCGACAACAAGCTGGTGCAGGTGCAGAAGGGCGACAAGCCGGTGACCATTGTGCGGGAGTTCAGCGAGGAGGGCCTCACCGTCACCGCCACCGTCAACGGCGTCACCTCGGTGCGATTCTACAAGCGCCAGTAAACAGAATGAACAGAACAAAAAATTCTCCTCACATTCCGGTAGATTTACTGTTCACTGTTTACCATAAAAACAACCCCCACACCACCAAGATCTTCTGAAAATCCAATTTTTCATCTATCTATCAATCAGTTATTTTTGATTGGCTAATAAATAATTTATTGCACTTCAATAGCTCCCAACTCGTGTGATTAAATTACCGTCTTGAACAGGAGAAGCTTAGTTGTTGTTCAGTTTAGTTTAATGCACTTTTTTTCTATTCTCAATGTACCCGAACTGTCACCCTTGGCTAGCCAAAAGTGGAAAGGAGAAGAGTGGAAGAAGAAAGTCTAAACTGTCTTCTTTCCATATCGATGAGATGCCTGCCTAGCCTTGCCTGCCTACTGAACAGGTACAGGCTTTCGCCATCTCTTCTTTCTTTGATTAGATTACCACATCGGTTTTACCTCTACATTGCAAACACTGAAAACAGTGCTTTGCAGCTCTATCGCAATCTCTCTTTCTCTCGATTTCTCTCACTCCCACCCTCGATATGCCATTTTCCCAGAACGCCTTTGCAGTGCGCTTAGCGCATCATGATCACTCACTTACTTCCGAATGCACTTGCAAAACAAATAATGTCAATTAGCTTATCACGTCATAATTAGCAGGAACAGTACTACTGCTTCTGTTGCCGTTGTAGTTTTGCGACAAAAACTGCTAAACCTAGCGTATTTTTTTCTAAATTGTAATGATAAATTCTATTTTGGATTCAATTTTGTGGTACACTTTGGTACACAATTTTGGTGGTGATGGTGGCAGTTCAGCAGCACCAGAAATCAACAGTGTTGTTGTCAGTGTT